CCGTTTCTAGTAAAATACATGAATGTACACATTGTGCATATAAAAGTGTATTTAAAAGTAAACTTGATAGACATATGTCAAAACACTCAAAATTAGAAGATAATGATAAATTCAACATGTGTATTCACTGTAATGCGAAACTCAAAGGCACAAGGGCATTGAATGATCATATAGTCAGGAAACATCCTGAGTTTATTGCATCCGTTTCTGCTAAAATATATGAATGTACATGTTGTGCATATAAATCAGTGAAAAAAAATGATGTTGCTACACATATGAAGACGAAACATAGTATGTTCTAATTATAAATCTGTCCCTGCGTCAAGGTACTTACAAGGCATGGTTCAATATAATGTGAAATTCAGAAGTATTTGAATACTCGTAAAACCTGAAAACATACCGATTTTATTGTGTTTAGTAAAATACACATTGCGCTTTTAAAACCAATAAAAAACGGTATTGTGTTTTGCCAATTTGACCAACAAAATTGAGTCAATGTCGGATGATGTGAGCAATGGTGTCAAACTTGCACTTTCTGCAAGGGTGCAAGGCAAAGAGATGCGGACGGGAATTGGTGATGTTATTTTTTAAATATTTGAGTATTATTGAGCGCACGAAAAGCATGCTTTTGGCGACGTAAACCATGACTGTATTTTTTTATTAGAATCAATAGCTACGAGGGATGTCTCTTAAGTTTTGCATATGGAAATAAAACAACACGGTAGGTAGTCTTAAATGACTTTATTGTTTTTCGAAGTATTCTCCACGAAGATTAATACACATCTGCATGCGCTCGAACCAATTTTCGAAGCACTTATTCCACTCGTTTGCTGGCAGATCCAAAACGGCATTTTTGAATGCGTCAACTGCTTCTTCTGGTGACCGGAACCTTTGACCACACAGTCTGTTTATCATTTTCGGGAAAGTAAATAAATCGTTAGGAGTTAGATCGGGACTATATGGAGGATGGTCCAATAATTCCACGTTTTCTTCCGTCAAATACTACCTTGTTTTTTGGGCGGTGTGCAAGCTTGCATTGTCTTGGTGGAGGATGATTCTTCCTTCATGGTTGATTTTTCGAAGCTCGGTGATGACTTTTGGCAAACAAATGGTGATATACCAATCCGCAGTAACAGTTCTTTGCTCATTAAGAGGAATTGTTGCGATATGACCCGCTTTTGACATAAATGTCGCGACCATCTTTTTCGAAACACTTCATGAACAGATGACTGTTGTTGGCTTTCCTTCACCTTGGAACACACAAACAGCCGACTGTCGTTTATTTTCTGGTTCATAACAGTAAATCCACGATTCATCACCACTAACAATGCTGTACACATTTTTTGAGTTTGAGTTTAAGATTCAGTACTGACGTTCGATCCGCGCGGCCTACTATATTTCCTGAAACTTATCCTGTGGTTTCGGGGGCTCGATATTTGTCTGGCGCTGCAGAAGTGTAGCAGATTCTGGTGACCATATAATTTAATAAATATGTTTCCTAATGATAATTGAAAATATGAAAATACCCAGCTCCAGCTACACCCTATTTCTCGAGTATCCATCACGCTTTGACGTCTACTGAGGTGAACAGCTGATCAGCAAGTGACATTTTTGTGTTATTCTGCAACGTTGGCAAGAAGGACTCTGATGTAAATCTAGAAAGACTTGTTTGTGGCGTTTTGTTTTTTGTAAGCAAATGAACTTTTCTAAATAAAAAAGATGTTAGCAAGTTCCAAACGAATCTGTTTCATACAAAACACCAAAATAAGATACGGCACTGACTACCTGACGTTGACGGATCCGTCAGAATTATGTGTCCTGTGCCGATAAGGGGAATTTTGAGATATTACTAGATAATCAGCTGTCATTATACCGTGATGGATACTCCTGAAATAAGGTATATACGGCACAGGACACATAATTCTGATGGAACCGTCAACGGCAGGTAGACATAGCCGTATTTTGTTTCGGTTTTTTGTACGCTTCAGATTAATGTTGCACTTGCTAACAGCTCTTTTATTTAGAACAATTCATTTGCATACATAAACAAAACGCCACAAACAAGTTTTACTAGATTTATACCCGATCCATTATTGCCAACGTTGCAGACTAACACAAAAATGTCACTTGCTGATCAGCTGTTCACCTCAGTAGACGTCAAAGCGAGATGGATACTCGTGAAATAGGGTATGTAAAGGTTGGAATGAATAGATATAACCGCACAAAAGAAAGATGACATTCTGTACAAATGTTCACCTACTCTTAAAACTTGATATTAATGATATTTTGCTAACATTCTGTATATTACCAGCTTATTTCTTGTAACATACGTGTCCGTAATATTTGTTATATTTTCCCAATAACAAGCATCAACTGCGAGATATTTGATAACTATTTTCTAAAAATTCTAATAGTAATATTTTTTTTCAGTGCTATAAATCAGGAATTCCCGTTGAAGCAAGATGTGGTTGTCAAAAGACCAGACTCTGGGTCGTTTTTTTGTCAAAATCCTGACTGTATTGCATCCGTTTCTAGTAAAATACATGAATGTACACATTGTGAATATAAAACTACCCATAAAAGCAAGATAAATAGACATACGACACAGCACTCAAAATTGTTAAATAATTATAAATTCAGAATATGTATTCACTGTAAGGCAACATTCACAGGTATTCCAGCACTGAATGATCATTTAATCAGGAAACATCCCGACTTTATTGCATCCGTTTCTAGTAAAATACATGAATGTGCACATTGTACATATAAAACTACCCAAAAAAGCATGATCGATAGACATATGTCAAAGCACTCAAAATTAGTAGATAATTATAAATTCAGCATATGTATTCACTGTAAGGCAACATTCTCAAGGATTTCAGCACTGAATGATCATTTAATCAGGAAACATCCCGACTTTATTGCATCCGTTTCTAGTAAAATACATGAATGTACACATTGTACATATAAAACTACCCATAAAAGCAAGATCGATAGACATATGTTAAAGCACTCAAAATTAGTAGATAATTGTAAATTCAGAATATGTATTCACTGTAAGGCAACATTCTCAAGGATTTCAGTACTGAATGATCATTTAATCAGGAAACATCCCGACTTTATTGCATCCGTTTCTAGTAAAATACATGAATGTACACATTGTGCATTTAAAAGTGTATTTAAAAGTAAACTTGATAGACATATGTCAAAACACTCAAAATTAGAAGATAATTGTAAATTCAACATGTGTATTCACTGTAATGCGAAACTCAAAGGCACAAGGGCATTGAATGATCATATAGTCAGGAAACATCCTGAGTTTATTGCATCCGTTTCTGCTAAAATATATGAATGTACAAGTTGTGCATATAAAACAGTGAGAAAAATTGATGTTGCTACACATATGAAGACGAAACATCGTATCTGCTAATTATAAATCTGTCCCTGCGTCAAGTACCTACAAGGCATGGTTCAATATAATGTGAAATTCAAAAGTATTTGAATACTCGTAAAACCTGAAAACGTATTGATTTTATTGTGATTAGTAAAATACACACTGCGCTTATAAAACAAATAAAAAACGGTAGGGTGTTTTGCCAATTTGACAAACAAAATTGAGTCGATTTCGGATGATGTGACCAATGGTGTCAAAATTGCACTATCTGCAAGGTAAAGAGATGCGGACGGGAATTGGTGATGTTATTTTTTAAATATTTGAGTATCATTGAGCGCACGAAAAGCATGCTTTTGGCGACGTAAACAATGACTGTATTTTTTATTAGAATCAATAGCTATAAGCTAAAGTAATGAAAATGATAAGCTGTCTCGTTTGGCAGCACTGTTGAGTAAACGCGGTAAACGGTACCTGAATGGTTAATGCTAATCGAACGGGTGTCATTAGTTGATATTGAATGGGGAGTTATTGAAATACTGCCATCCACTATTACTGCCGAGTACAAAATAATCGCGAGAACATTGCAAAGGAATCTGCTAAATACAATTTCTTTTATCTGCGAAAACTAATATAAAAAGTGAGGTTATCGCACAAAAAGGGAGAAAATGATAGTCTTGGCTGTGCCGATTTTAAGCATCCTGTAAAAGTGACAGGCACTGACTTTATTAATTCCAAGTCTTATTTTTGATTTATTGCCCCTCTCAGATGTCAAATCCGGCTAGGAATTATTAGTGGCTGACTAGGACGTTCAATAACTCCTTAATATCTCATATGAGAAAATCATCAAAAGTGAACGACAGCTTGTCAGACGATATATCGGCTCACCTATTCTGGTTTCTGCAATACTCTCCTTACCGTTTTCCCTCTTGCATCCTTTTGCTTGGCAGTTAATAGTAGAATAATCCTGAGGTTCTCCAATCTCAAAAAATGTGATTTTGTGTTTGTCTTATCTGCTTGTTTATATTTGTGTATATAGTTTGAAGAAAAATAAAATATTTTTAATATTTGGCACACTTTATTTTATTTATAGCTATTTTCCAAATTTTAACAATTTTGAAAATAGCTATAGCTGGATTACGCTCAAAGATTCAAATGTGGGGCCTTGTAAAATGGACGCTAATTCCTCACGCAAAAATATAAAACTAAAACCATTCTGATGCATGTATGACAATTCGGAAAACTGACAAATCAACTAGCCAAAACTTTACGTATTTTCTACAACATCTTCGCTAAATGCATCTCTTTCCTGATTTTTCTCTTTCGAGGCTACGCCTCTTTTTCTATTACGAGTCTCTCCACTACTTGAGATGGGCTTTCATGAAACTCTATTTTGTGTTTTTACGATTTTTGTTATGGGTTATGGGAAAATAAAACATAAAACGGCACAAGTAGCGGCCAAAATGTAAAAACCGCGACCAGAAATACAAATAAGAACAATTTAGTAGATCGACCATATTACATTACTTCGGAATTGGGGGATTATTGCATGTTATGCTTTGCGCGCATTCACCAAGCGATATAACGCGGGGGCAAGCAACTGGGTTATGTCTCAATAGTACTGCTCGTTCACCTTGCCGATTAGTTGCAGAACTTGATCTCAGTTTTGGACGTAGGTGACTCATTGCGTTTTATTCTGGGCTAAAAATATAACACATTTAATAGATGACCACTTGGAAAAATAGCATTATTTACTTTGGCAAACATGCCTGCGCAGTACGGATTCCACGTCATTTGAGGCTGGCGAGAATTACGCTAGCAAATCGATATTATTTCGTTTTTCAAATTGAGGCAAATCGTAACGGTAGATATAAAATTGGCACTAATTGTAGTGTGTATAGGTAGAAAAGGAAGTTGTTCTGTGTCCAAGCTTAGTGTTGAGTTGTCATTTGGAGTCTAGTACTATTCTTGAAAAATACGAGGAAGCAGCTAAAGTTCAACAAGTCTGCCAAAGGACTTCCAAATATTCGACACTGTTGTGGTGAAAAGAGTTGCCGAGAATGTTCTTGTAAAAATAAATTATGAATCGTGATAGAATCTAGTACAATCGTAATGCTTTGCCCAACTCTATAATCCAAACTTGCATACAATAAATATGACAAACTCGCATGACAAACTTCATTTACTAGGTTTACTTGTGTCTTGTAAAGAGTTTCTATTTTCAAAGTCTTTCAAATAAACATACGCATACAGGAATTATTAATGAAAATGTTTCAGTCCATCAGTTGTATTTCTCACTACAATATATATAATGTACTAGTCCTATGCTTAAGTAGAGACTTGTAAATAGAATTTTAACATTCGAATCAGGGTTGTTAAAGAAACCGGGCCCCTTGTACATATATTTATAGTTAATCATGGATGCTCAGGTGCTAGCTACTGAAGATATCATGAAGATAGAAATGGAGGGGGTTGGATTCCAGGCAGTACAGACAGACACCAAGCCGTTTGAACTTTATAATGCCTCTTGGAATTTGTGTTTTAAATGTGATATGAATAAAGACTCAAAAAATGCAGTTTCTGATAGGTAAAGTAGTAGTAGTAAACTATTCTATACCATATATCCATATGATACCTGCTTTCAAGGATTTTTTTGCCTGTTTCAGAGGTCCAGTTCCAGAAATTACAGATCAAATAAACATTATACATGAGCCTGATGATTATTTTGTAGATGATCTAGCTTCTAGGTAAATCCTCTTTGCTAGTATTTGCTTAGGAAAAACGGATAATTCATGGACGTCCATTAGAATTTCTGTTTTAATGTTCTAAGGGAAATACTGTGATTCTACTTACACAACATAGCTGTGACAATGGAAATTGTATATGAATATTCATAGAGAGTGTTAAGTCTGCAAATTGTTTATATTCAAGATCCAGGGTGATAAATGTTAACAAGGAAATGGTTTTTCGTACATTTCTTAAATACCATTTACCTAATTTTATTACAATTTGGCGGTGGTATTTATAACAATAAGGAGCTAATTTATATCAAATTTATGAAGTCCAGTGGCTTCTTGAGCGGGATCTGAATGAAAATTTGTGACAAAAAATGTATGCCACTGCCTTTCATGCAATTTTTATTATGTTCTTTCGATTAAGCAAATAGAAATACCTACAACTTTTTTGTCTCTTGAATTTTCTATTGTATCTTACTTAGTTTTCTAGAAAAAAAGTTTACTTAATTCCATATCACTGGACCATACAAGGAATATGGGGAAAATTGTCCTTAGCTTAGTAAAATTCATTAGTTTAGATGTAATTTAATGACTGTTTATTGCAAAAGAAACTTTTCTCCATATTCCTTGTGTGGTACAGAGATATGCAATTTTTTCTCTTAACCCAAGCAAGATACAAAAAAAATTCAAGAGGCAAAAAAGTTGTATTTCTATTTAATGAATGCAAAAACAATCAAAATTGCAGACCTTTGTTTATATGAACTTTCTCTCTCTAAATTACTCAAAGAATCATCTGCTATGGTACATACTTGATTAACAACCTGTATATGGCCATAGGGTTGGGCATATTTTTGGGGACAGTATAAATTATATGCTCTTCAATCAGTTGTAAATATTTTAGGACTGCAATATGTTTGTGGATAACTAAGGAGCACAATTATGCTAAGGTTTGGATAAAAAGTGAGCCTGAAGAAGAACTGAAGGTTGAAAGTTCTCTTGACAGCAGCGAAAAGTACTCAGTTTTAGAAATAACGGAGGAATTCATCATCAAAGATGAGTGTAATGATGATGATAAGTTCTTAGATGCAAATCCAGAAACAGCTTCCAATAGGTAACTATTTTTTGAGAGTTGTTTCTACTTCTACTTGTGTGAAATTTTGAAAATGTCTCGGTGATTTTGTTGGTCTGTCTGCTAATTGTTGGCCTCACTATAATTTGGAAAGTGCATGTCAGATTGAGGTGATATTTTGACACAACGCTACAACTATGCCATGGAAAAAAACATTTATAGTTTTTTATCTTGATCTAGTTGAATTTGAATATTAAACATTGTTTTTTTTGTTATGCCATGGTTTGTGACTAACTTTTTTCTCAGAACATAACCTTCTATGAACTGATTATAGTGTTGTGTGTGATATGCAGAGTCAACCTACTTGACACTATGTAATTATCAAGCTATAAGAGGAAGTTTGAATATACAGTAATGAATGCGCCAAAAAGGAATCCTGAACTCATTAAGCCAAATATGCCTTATTAAAATGAAGTCCATCAACCAGATGGTGTCAAAGTTTGATTTTAAATTTTATTTTTCCACTATAACTTGTTTTTGTGATATCATGAAAATTGGGGTTCGGAGGTAACGAAGACGATTAACACGAGCATATTGTATTTATTCTATTTTAGAAGCAGTAGTGAATGTAACGTTACTAACGGCCAAAATCTTACCGCTACTGGAGAAAGGCGCAAAATGAAGGAGCTGATAATAAACGTTGAAAGGATGAATCTTGAACTTATCAAAAAAATAAAACATTCTCAAAATACAGACACTCATCAACTCAGTGAAAAAGCAAAAGTGGATCTTCTGCAAAAAAGGTAATTGTAGCTCGTTATGTATATTGAGTTGAAATAACGTTTATGCTTATTTTTGCGTGTGAGAAAAAGATTCTTATTTAAATTTCTTGCAGTTATATGCGCAACCTACTGCATAATTTATATTTTAAATAAAAACTAAAAACCTAAATTAAACAAAGTCTTATTTAATTCTTCAGTGATTTATATGTGGTGTGTGTTCATGGTTTGTAATTGGGAAAATTTAACATATAAAAGAATTTCGGCATTCGAGCCTTTGGACTTTTTTCATACTGTCCACGGTTTTGCTTCCTCTGACTGCGGACCACTGTCGTCAACGTTTGAACTGGAGCAGAGAACGCAACATTGGGAGGCAGAATGGCATAATGTCATCTTCAACAACAAATCGCGATTCTGTCTAGGTAGGCACGATTGTCTTAGAACGATTAGTCGCCGCCGTTTGGAACGGCGTAATATTAGATTTGCTGTTGATAGATATGTACCGCTCCTTTGTCGCGAGGGTGTCGAGGTTGTCGAACAATCTACAAGATGAAGCTTTTCCCAGTACTACTAAGCTTAGGCAATTCAAAAATCCGCGGTGTCCCGGCATTTAGGCCTCTGCGCGGCTGCTTCCGTATAAAAAAAAATGTATATACTACTGTTGGAGTAATGGTTTGGGGGGCTATTGCTTATGGTGGCCGATCACCTCTTTTCTTTGTTCAAGAAAATGTGAGTGCCGCGCATTATGTTGATGATGTCCTACAAACCACTTTACTGCTGTGTTGAAAATATTACTTTGAAACTTATGTCTGTGTCTGGAGGATGGGTTCAGTAAGTGGTCGGCAGGGGTTCTGGGATCTCATTAGAACTTTTCATACACAAAATTTCAACCAATTTAGCTAAAAGCCATTTTCCGTAAACTTTGGTATTAACAGGTTATTTTCTGTAACTTGTTTCCACAACACTATTTCTGTTAATAATGCCAATTTCAAGTCTCGACTCCGTAAAACTTGAATATTATTGTCTGAAATAGTTTGTTTTGTTACAGTGCATTGAAACAGAAAACTATGGTGAAGCAGCAGTCTATAGCATGTAAAAAATTGAGCAGAAATTTAGTTTATTGTAATAGTTGTAATTATTCTGCTAGATCTAAGTATATTCTGATTCGTCATATGAAAGAACATAGAAATCTAAAGAAACATAAAAACGAACCGCGTTCTAGCTATAAACATATCACGTGTATACACTGTAATGCAAAGTTCAGATCCAAAAGGAGTCTAGATGATCACGTCCTTAAACAACATTCTGATCTTGTTGCGTCCGTTTCTAGTAAAACTCACAAATGTTCACATTGCGCGTATAAAACAACCTATAAGAGTAGTTATAGGATACATATGCTAAAACATTCAGAGACAGCAAGTAAATACAAATTCGGCATATGTACTCACTGTAATGCGAAATTCAAAAGCAAGTGGACACTGTATGAACATATAATTCGGGAACACCCTGACTTTATTACGTCCTTGTCTTGTAAATTATATCATTGCACATGTTGCGCTTACAAAACAACATTTAAGTCTCGTTTAGCTAAACATATGTTTTTCAAACATTCAGAGTCAGTAGGTAACTATAAATTCTTCATGTGTGTTCACTGCACTGCAAAATTTAAATATAAACATATGCTGGATAATCATATAGTCAAAGAACATCCTGACTTTATTGCTTCTGTTTCTGCTAAAATTCATGAATGTAAACATTGTGAATATAAAACAACTATGGAGACCAGTTGGAATAGACATATGTTGGAACATCCAGAGACAGAAGATAATTATAAATTCAACATATGTATTCACTGTAATGCGAAATTTAAATTTAAACATATGCTAGATAATCATATAATTAAGGAACATCCTGACTTTATTGCTTCTGTTTCTGCTAAAATTCATGAATGTAAACATTGTGAATATAAAACAACTATGAAGAATTGTTTGGCAAGCCATGTATGGAAACATCGAGAGACGGTAGATAATTATAAATTCATCATATGTATTCACTGTAATGAGAAATTTAAATTTAAACATATGCTAGACAATCATATAATCAAGGAACATCCTGGATTTATTGCATCCATTACTGCTAGAATTTATGAATGTAAACATTGTGAATATAAAACAACTATGAAGACCGGTTTTTCTAGACATATGTTGAAACATCGAGAGAGAGTAGATAATTATAAATTCAGAATATGTATTCACTGTAAGGCAAAATTCAAAACTATTTCAGCACTGAATGATCATTTAGTCCAGAAACACCCAGACTTTACTGCATCCGTTTCTAGTAAAATACATGAATGTACACATTGTGCATATAAAAGTGTATTTAAAAGTAAACTTGATAGACATATGTCAAAACACTCAAAATTAGAAGAGAATCATAAATTCAGCATGTGTATTCACTGTAATGCGAAACTCAAAGGCACACGGACATTGAATGATCATATAGTCAGAAAACATCCTGAGTTTATTGCATCCGTTTCTGCTAAAATATATATATGTACACGTTGTGCATATAAAACAGTGAAAAAAAATGATGCTGTTACACATATGAAGACGAAACATCGTATGTGCTAATTATAAATCTGTCCCTGCGTCAAGTACCTACAAGGCACTGTTCAATATAATGTGAAATTCAAAAGTATTTGAATACTCGTAAAACCTGAAAACATACTGATTTTATTGTGTTTAGTAAAATACACATTGCGCTTATAAAACAAATAAAAAACGGTAGGGTGTTTTGCCTATTTGACAAACAAAATTGAGTCGATTTCCAATGATGTGACCAGTGGTGTCAAAAATGCACTATCTGTCCAGCAAGGGAATGCAACGTAAAGAGATGCGGACGGGAATTGGTGATGTTATTTTTTAAATATTTGAGTATCATTGAGCGCTTTTGGCGACGTAAACAATTATGTATTTTTTTATTAGAATCAATAGCTATAAGCTATAAGTAATGAAAATGATAAGCTGTCTCGTTTGGCAACACTGTTGAGTAAACGGCACCTGAATGGTTAATGCTGATCGAACGGCTGTCATTAGTTGATATTGAATGGGGAGGTATTGAAATACTGCCATCCACTGTTACTGCCGAGTACAAAATAATAGCGAGAACATTGCAAAAGAAACTGCTTTCCGTATATAATTTCTTTATCTGCGAAAACTAATATAAAAAGTGGGGTTATCGCACAAAAAGGAAGAAAATGATAGTCTTGGCGGTGCCACGATTTTAAGCGTCCTGTAATAGTAGCAGGCACTAACTTTATTAATTCCAAGTCTTGTTTTTGATTTATTGCCCCTCTCAGATGTTAAATCCGGCTAGGAATTATTATAGTGGCTGACTATTGGACGTTCAATAACTCCCCAATATCTCATATGGACGACAGCTTGTCAGACGATATATGCTTTCGGCAATACTCTCCTTACCGTTTTCTCTCTTGCATCCTTTTGCTTGGCAGTTAATAGTAGTATAATCCTGAGGTTCTCCAATCTCAAAAAATGTGATTTTGTATTTGTTTTATATACTTGTTTATTTTTGTGTATATAGTTTGAAGAAAAATAAAATATTTTTAATATTTGGCACACTTTATTTTATTTATAGCTATTTTCCAAATTTTATAATAGCTGAATTACGCTTAAACATTCAAATGTGGGGCCTTGTAAAATGGACGTTAATTCCTCACGCAAAAAAAAACATCTCCACTAAACTTTTAAACAACGGTAGCGTAAGCGGATATACCAGAAAGTATAGCAAGTTGCTTATTTTACCCTGGGCATATTTGTGAGAGTTTAACATCTATCGATCTGTCGGGGCCACGCCTCTGATAGGCTGCATCCCTTTCCTCACTTTTCTCTTTCGAGGCCACGCCTCTTTTTCTATTAAGAGTCGCTCTACTACTTGAGATGGCCTTTCATGATACCCTATGTTGTATTTTTACGATTTCTGTTACGGGTTATGGAAAAATAAAACATAAAATGGCACAAGTAGAAGCCAAAATGTAAAAACCGAGACTAAAAATACAAATACGAACAATTTAGTAGATCGAGCTTATTACATTACTTCGGAATTGGGGGGTTATTGCATGATATGCTTTGCGCGCGATCACAAGGCGATATAAGGCGGGGGCAAGCAGTACTGCTCGTTCACCTTGCCGATCAGAACAGTTGGTGGACTTTGCAGAATTTGATCTCAGTTTTTGACGGTGACTCATTGCGCTTAATTCTGGGCTAAGAATATAAAACATTTAACAGATGACCACTTAGAAAAGCAGCATTATTTACTTCGGCGAACATGCCTTTGCAGTATGATTCCACGTCTTTTGAGGCTGGCGAGAATTACGCTAGCAAATCGATATTATTTCGTGTTTGTCCATTTCGTTTTTCAAGTTGAGGCAAATCGTAACGGCAGATCTAAAATTGGCACTAATTGTAGTGTGTATAGGCAGAAAAGGAAGTTGTTCGGTGTCCAAGCTTAGTGTTGAGTTGTCATTTGGAGTCTAGTACTCTTCTTGAAAAATACGAGGAAGCAGCTAAAGTTTAACAAGTCTGCCAAAGGACTTCCAAATATTCGACACTGTTGTGGTGAAAAGAGATGCGGAGAATGTTCTTGTAAAAATCAATTATGAATCGTGATAGAATCTAGTACAATCGTAATGCTTTGCCCAACTCTATAATCCAAACTTGCATACAATAAATATGACAAACTTCATTTACTAGGTTTACTTGTGTCTTATAAAGAGTTTCTATTTTCAAAGTCTTTCAAATAAACATAGGCATACAGGAATTATTAATGAAAATGTTTCAGTCCATCAGTTGTATTTCTCACTACAATATATACAGGGTGACTTTGAAGTTGAGTCATTAATTTTCAGATAATGATTGTAGAAGGAAGATAAACCAAAATATGTGTGTAAAAATAAAAAAAAAATTAAAAAAAAATTTTTACCTTGTTTTATAAAGTATCCTCCCGACAAGTATTTCAGTGCGGACCTGTATTTGATCGTGAGATCCCCTGTGAGGTCTTAAGTCACTTGATTCACGAGCCCGTTGTACTACATTAACAAAGACACGAGGGGTTGGTTGCACTCGATTGGGAAACCGATCCGCATAAACATGTGCCATTTTTTATTTCGTTTGAGCCACGCAACAGGCACTATTCACACGCCTTACCGACTGACACTGAGTGTATGTATAACTGAACTGAAGAAAATAATTGTAAAACATCGTTCCAAATTCTTTCGCTTTTTTGTTTCCGATGCGATGAACCGAGGCGGATTATATCCGTTGTTGCCAAACACGAGCACATGATATTACGAGTATTATTGAACAGGGCGGTACTCAAACTTCCAAAGGGCTATAACTTTGTTACTTTAATTTTACCAGAAAAATGGTAAAGGAAAAAAACATTTCTTTTGATCAGATCTACTCACTGTTAAAATAAATGACTCAACTTCGAAGTCACCCTGTATAATGTACTAGTCCTATGCTAAGTAGAGACTTGAAAATAGAATTTTAACATTCGAATCAGGGTTGTTAAAGAAACCGGGCCCCTTGTACATATGTGTATAGTTTAATCATGGATGCTCAAGTGCTAACTACTGAAGACATCATGAAGATAGAAATGGAAGGGGTTGGATTCCAGGCAGTAGAGACAGACACCAAGCCGTTTGAACTTTATAATGCCTCTTGGAATTTGTGTTTTAAATGTGATACGAATAAAGACTCAAAAAATGCAGTTTCTGATAGGTAAAGTAAGAGTAGCAAAGTATTCTATACCATATATCCATATGATACCTACTTACAAGGATTTTTTTGCCTGTTTCAGAGGTCCAGTACCAGAAATTATAGATCAAATGAACATTAAACATGAGCCTGATGATTATTTTGTAGATGATCTAGCTTCTAGGTAAATCCTGTTTGCTGGTATTTGCTTAGGAAAAACGGATGATTCCTGGACTCATGGGCGTCCACTAGAATTTTTCTCTGGGGACTGGGTCAAGAACAGTTAAGGGGTATTCTGTTTTGATGTTCTAAGGGAAATACTGTGATTCTACTTGCCCAACACCCTGTATATAACCATAGGGTTGGGCATCGTTTTGGGGACAGTATAAATTATATGCTCTTCAATCAGTTGTAAATGTTTTAGGACTGCAACATGTTTGTGGATAACTAAGGAGCACAATTATGCTAAGGCTTGGATAAAAAGTGAGCCTGAAGAAGAACTGAAGGTTGAAAGTTCTCTTGACAGCAGCGAAAAGTACTCAGTTTTAGAAATAACGGAGGAATTCATCATCAAAGATGAGTGTAATGATGATGATATGTTCTTAGATGCAAATCCAGAAACAGCTTCCAATAGGTAACTATTTTTTGTGAGTTGTTTCTACTTCTACTTGTGTGAAATTTTGAAAATGTCTCAGTGATTTTGTTGGTCTGTCTGCTAATTGTTGGACTCACTATAATTTGGAAAGTGCATGTCAGATTGAGGTGATATTTTGACACAACGCTACAACTATGCCATGGAAAAAAACATTTATAGTTTTTTATCTTGATCTAGTTGAATTTGAATATTAAACACTGTTTTTTTTTGTTATGCCATGGTTTGTGACTAACTTTTTTCTCAGAACATAATCTTCTATGAACTGATTATAGTGTTGTGTGTGATATGCAGAGTCAACCTACTTGACACTATGTAATTATCAAGCTGTAAGGGGGAGTTTGAATAAACAGTAATGAATGCGCCAAAAAGGAATCCTGAACTCATTAAGCCATATATGCTTTATTAAAATGATGTCCATCAACCAGATGGTGTCAAAGTTTGATTTTAAATTTTATTTTTCCACTATAACTTGTTTTTGTGATATCATGAAAATTTTGATTCGGAGGTAACGAAGACGATTAACACGATTATATTGTATTTATTCTATTTTAGAAGCGGTAGTGAATGTAATGTTACTAACAGCCAAAATCTTACCGCTACTGGAGAAAGGCGCAAAATGAAGGAGCTGATAATAAAAAATAAAAAAATAAAACATTCTCGAAATACATACACTCATCAACTCAATGAAAAAGTTAATGTGGATCTTCTGCCAAAAAGGTAATTGTAGCTCGTTATGTATATTCAGTTGAAATAACGTTTACGCTTATTTTTGCATGTGAGAAAAGGATTCTTATTTAAATTTCTTGCAGTTATATGTGCAACCTACTGCATAATTTATATTTTAAATAAAAACAAAACCTAAATTAAACAAAATTTTATTTAATTCTCAAGTGATTATATGTGGTCTGTATTCATGGTTTGTAATTGGGAAAATTTAACATATAAAAGAATTTCGGCATTCGAGCCTTCGGACTTTTTTCATACTGTCCACGGTTGATGCTTCCTCTGACTGCGGACCACTGTCGTCAACGCTTGAATTGGAGCAGAGAACGCAACATTGGGAGGCAGAATCGCATAATGTCATCTTCAACAATAAATCGCGATTCTGTCTAGGTACGCACGATTGTCGTAGAAGGATAAGTCGCCGCCGTGGAGAACGGCGTAATATTAAATTTGCTGTTGATAGACATGTACCGCTCCTTTTTTTTTTTGAGAATATTACTTTGAAACTTATGTCTGTGTCTGGAGGATGGGTTCAGTAAGTGGTCGGCAGGGGTTCTGGCACCTCATTTTGTTTTGATATTAACACGTTATTTTCTGTAACTCGTTTCCACAACACTATTTCTGTTAATACTAGCAATTTCAAGTCTCGATTCCGTAAAACTTGACTATTATTGTCTGAAATAGTTTGTTTTGTTACAGTGCGTTGAAACAGAAAACTATAGTGAAGCAGCAGTCTGTACCATGTAAAAAATTGAGCAGAAATTTAGTTTATTGTAATAGTTGTAATTATTCTGCTAGATCTAAGTATATTCTGGTTAGTCATATGACAGAACATAGAGATCTAAAGAAACATAAAAACGAACAGCGTTCTAGCTATAAACATATCACGTGTATACACTGTAATACAAAGTTCAGATCCAAAAGGAGTCTAGATGATCACGTCCTTAAACAACATTCTGATCTTGTTGCGTCCGTTTCTAGTAAAACTCACCAATGTTCACATTGCGCGTATAAAACAACCAATCAGGGTAGTTATAGGAAACATATGCTAAAACATTCAAAGACAGCAAGTAAATACAAATTCGGCATATGTACTCACTGTGTAACGCTTCCTTTCCGCAAAAAGTCCAGAAAAGATGGAATGCAATGAAGATTCCAACTTTTCTGCACAATCACAGAAAGGGGGTTAACATTAGCTTCCGGTAGCTCAGTCGGTGGCATGAAGACATCTACAGGCGTGTAGCTGTGTGTCGACCATGGCATGGCTAGAGGATAGAAGAACAAACAGAACACAAAAATTTAACAGATTTTATTTAACAAAAAAAAAAGGCATTTTCATTACATTAGAATTTTACAAAAATAACAAAATAAGTTTTTAACGCTATCGACTTATCTTTTGCTGGTCCATTTTGACTCGACTGAAGCCAGGATGGCCAGGGGCGTGAAGGGGAGGTCCCAGTTATGAGGGGTGACCTCCATATAG